CAAGATTTGACCTGCCCTAGTGTGAACCATTTCCAGAAGCACATTTAGCCACAAAGAGTAAATCCTACTCCAGTGCAGTAAAGCTAGCATAGACATGCTGCTCAACAGGTGAAGAGAGTGGAGTCCTGTGTGCTGGGTAGGCAAGCATGCCTCCTCACCATCACCACTACTGTCCAGCACAATTCCAAAAGCTCTGTTATAAACAGGCATTTTGGCAGAATTACTTGTGTTTTCCACATCACAGTCCACAGATGTTGTTTGAGGAAAATTTTAGGTAGAGGCTTTTCTAGCACAGCCACACTTCAAAGTAGCGTGGAAAAGCAATGATTGGTCTCTGGTGATCCGTTGGTTATTAGATTTGCAACAGGAGATTTCCTCTTGCCCACCCCCTTTGCAGGAAGAGAAACGTGAAAAATTGGAGTAAGTTATTGCTAATGGTTAAACAGCTGAGCACTGACGCGTTTCTGACTACTAGGGAAGACTGGATGGGCTTACCTGTGCATGCATCATAGTGTGTTGTTATTTGTATCGCAGTAGAACTAATCCATCCTACTGTAAACAGTATCTTCTCCTGCACAAGCTTGCTGCTGAACGTAAGAAAATACAGTCCTTCACTTGAAAAAAACAAGTAATGATTTACACAGACATAACGTGGGAAGGAAAAATGAAAATTATTGCCATTTTGAGGCTGGCTAGCTTAAGTATAAAGATAATAATTTGTTGTCTAAATTTCACTTTTTAATCACAAGCTATCAATTTGTGCAACTGTAGAAATGCTTGTAACATTTTCTGATTGAGAAGCGTTGTAAGTCTTCCCTCATAGCCAAACTCCATTTCTTCAGTTGTTTGAATGTTTGCAGAAATGTGATTTAACTGAAGTCTACAGGCCAACTGAAGGACTGAAACGGTGGTACTTAATTCACACTTCTGAAATGCGAGACTCACATTGCACCAATGGGAACAGAAACGAAAGTAATGGTAAACTTTCAGCCTGTACCTCTAAATAGATGACTTCACTGCAAAATCGGATTTTTCCAATAGAAGTTCTTTATTGTTCATTCAGAATACTATTTTTCCCATTAGAATTTTTGTGCATTTGCTTAATACGTCTCTTAATCTGCAGTTCAGATTCTGTTTTTTTTTCAAGTATTTGGAAAGCAAAGGAGACCATTCCTTAAGACAGAATTAAAATGCAAAGAGAGAGTGTCTTTGGGAAACTTGAGGCAACCTGAGGCCTCATTCAAAGATAAATCTTCTTTCAAAAGATACACATTTTAGAACTATTTTGTTAAATAACTTTCTTTGCTGTAACCTTGGCCATCTTAATGTTAGTAAAAATGCTGCAGTATTAGCGCCAGGGACAAACCAATAAATCCAGGTTAGATCCTTTCTTCTGTCTTAAGTCATACAGATGCTATTGTGTATAACTGACACATTTTCCTTGGTCCTGTTTAGGGCAAGGGACAGCTGAGGTGATCCAAACAGCTTTAAAGCAGACATTTCATCATCTTTCAGAGTTTTGGGTTATAATTCCTTCCAACTTTCTGTCTGTCCAACGTTTGCTTAATTTCAAGGGGAAAACCAGGATCTTCCGTTGGCCGAAGTTTTTCTTCTTGAAGTTTTTTTCACTCAAATACAGCTTAATCTATTTTGGCCTGTGGAATTTCTGTGAGAGTTACTTGATCATTAACTGGAAATACCATTTTTTTCAGTCAGTCTGCAAATAACATCTGTAGTCACAATCACTTATTGGTTAATGTAACCTGCCACAGGTTTTGATTCCCGTTAGAACTGGTCTATAGTAACATCTGCTTTCTGTCAAATTGCTGAAGCTTCTCTTTGCTTCAATAAGTAGACCTCAGAATTTTTTAAAAACTTTTTTTTTAATCTTGTACCAACCTCTTACCATCAGGTGCACCACAGACACATTACAACCAGTGACTATATAAAATAGAACAGTGAAATGGAGCTGGACCAGTATTCAGCAAGAACATTATTACATTCTTGCATGTTTTCATGTATTAGACCTCAGAGTATAATCCAGTGCTAGTAAGATCTAGGGAAGTGAAGAAACAATACTAAGGAGTCCATCTGACAGAAATACAGTCTGTCTCCACCTGCTCTCCCTGGGCATGGTTTAGCTGTTGCTATTATTAGGACAAAAAGAGGTCCTGAGTGCTCCATCATGTCCTTTTGTATGTCTATGTATGTATGGAGCAAATGAATATATTTTATTTAAGGGTTTTGGCAGTATTTGAGCAACGTAAGTCAGAAATAATACAGCAAAGAAGCACAACTATCTATTCAGATAATTCAATTACTCAAAACCAGTCCCTGAAGTTGCTCTGATGTAACACCTGACATTTTGGGCCTTTGGTGCAAGCCAGGGCTGCAAAGTCTCCAGTGCTGTCCTTCTGCAAATTGAGGCTCGTCAAGGAGCGTAACATGGTGGCTCTGTCAGCTCCCTTGGCTTTGGCTGTTGTCTTTGCACTGATGACTCATTAAGCTTCTTCCATTTCTTAAAATCTTCTGGTCATGGGTGGTAGCCTGCTTGTCTGTTGTCTCTTAGCGAGAGCCTTTCCATCAACTTAGAAGAAATGTGTGCAGCAGGCGCTGGCCTGTTGTCTGAGGATTCTCCTTCTCTCTCCGTCACCATTGGCACTGGTTCCCACCACGTCGGCCCTATTCTGGCATCTTTTTTTACTCTTTTCCCTTATCACACGCATCCAGAGCATCTTACTACATCTTCTTCTCAACGTGTCCAAGTCTCACAATGTTCTGTAATCCCAAAGATCTCTCTCTTTTTGGCCTTCATTAAATGCCTGCGAAATGGTTAACCTGCTCTGCACAAGCGTAAGCTTCTGACGTCTGCTTTGAAGCCAGTCCTGTATTTGGCCCTCCCTGTTTATCAAATGGCCTTCACTCCATCTGCACAGGTAATACTTCCAGTGGTGCTTTCACAGCTTGGTCATCTCACCCATTTAGCTTCTCTTGGCACAACTAACAGCACCTTCATTTCTGCGTTCTCCGTTCTTCTCTGCAAAGCATTTACACATTTTATATTTTCAAGTTCCTCGAAAGACCTGCCTCTGAAATAGTCTAGCCAGCAAACAATGAGGTGTGATAACTTGAATACAAGTTTAAAATGTCAAAACACTTTATTTTCTAATAAAATGTTTAATGAAGTATTCAGGCTACTCTTTAAGCAGCAATAGTCTTGGATAACTTTATTGCTGTTACAACTCTTTAGTTTTCTATTGAGAAAAAGATGTTTTTCATGGACACCACAAGATACATACAACTTATGGAGTGTATGTGGGAGGGGTTGTTCTACATAAATCTTTGATTTAGTTTAAAAAATTGAAGTTGAAGTTATTCAGAAAAATCTTTACAGACCATGGCTATTTCTAGCAACCTTTTTAGTTGAGATTAAAACCATTCAAAAACCTGTTTCAGCATTCTTAAAGCATATGTTTAATTTTTTTTCATTCCTTGAAACACTTTTGATTAGTAAAACTGCAATTTTTAAATGAAGCGTTTGATTTTTGTTCAAATAAGACGGTTCAGGTGAACCCATATTAAGTCTGTCTTTAATTTTCAAGGTGTGTGAAAATACTAAGTTTCCATTTCCCCAAACTAAAACGCTTTTTTGAAAATCTGAAATTGCTACTGCACCAAAGAGATTCTTTTTGCCTCACATCTTTCTTTCTTTCTCTTTCTTTCTTTGTTTCTCTTTCTTTCTTTCTTTCCTTCTTTCTTTCTTTCTCTCTCTCTCTCTCTCTCTTATCTTCATTCTCTTGACCTGGTTTCTCTCCTAAATTGTGATGAACTGTCTTTAGTATTTGGGAAACTCCTTCACAATTATGACACTCGTGACAATAATCACTTAGAAAAATAATCAAAAAAAAACAAAACAAAACAACTCTGCTGAAATTCTTTGAATGTTTGTATTTTAAAAGCTATTCTTTCTAGTATGTTCTTAATGAAACTCCCTTCATCTCATTTTTTAGCATCAGTGTACGCATGACTGCATATACTCTTCCTTTTTTATTGTGTTGTCCTCAGATTCTTAGCACTGTGAATTAGACAGTATGTTGTAGAGATAGTACTTGTTTTACAGACTTTTGCTTAATAATTTTTTTTTTTTGACACAATAAGGCTTGTTCTGAACATGGCTGGAAGAGCTACGTAACACCTATCAGATGCCTAATTGTTGTCTCAATAAAACTAAGAAAATCAACACCAAAACAAAAAAAAATCTTAGTAGAAATTGCTTGTAATACAATTTATTTTTAAGCATGAGAGCCTATTATAATAGCCAGTAACAGTTTAGCAACGTAGTCATCACATTTGCAGTTAAAGAGAAATATCTGTCTATACCTGAGGCATCATTTGTCTATAGAAAATGAGTCCCAGTGCATTCATATAAAATCAAACAAATTGCCTTTGAGGGGCTTCTGTTTGGGTGCTTCTAGCAAAATTAGCACCAATGAAGTTCTTGGGTAGCTTAAACATACTAAGCAAGAGGCAGCTGAGTTGAAGGTGACTTCTGTCCCATGCAGAACTCATTTGAGCCAACTGGGTCTCACTCTCCACAGGCTGAATGGAGAGGGCAGGTGAATATATTGTTCTTCCCTGCTGTGCCCATGTAGCCAAAGACACATGGAGGCAATTACCTGAATGTTAAAAAAAGGCAGTGAAAGTCGTTGGATTGCAAGAATAAAACTGGTGACATGTGTTGACCCAAAGAGAGGAAGCTGTGGTGGTGGTGGTGGTTTTAGGATTGTGCAACGCTCTTGAGTAAGTATAGTTGTGGAGAGAGAGTTTTGTCCTTTGCAGGCTGTAGAGACTGGAGGCATAGTGATGAAAAAGATAGTGACTGTAAAGATGTCCTGAAGGGAGTTAAACACCTCTGAGGATTCCCAGAGAACACGCAAACAGAAATGTCAAGAGACTACACTCCAGTTTGTGTTTTGTTTTCCTTAACTACTGGTGTTCAGATATTGATCAGTGGAATAAAGTTATTGAGCAGTTGGGAACACCCTGTCCGGAATTCATGAAGAAGCTGCAGCCGACGGTACGGAACTACGTTGAGAACAGACCCAAGTACGCGGGCCTCACTTTCCCCAAACTTTTTCCAGACTCCCTCTTCCCAGCTGACTCGGAACACAACAAACTCAAAGGTATGTCTGGCAAAGGGACATGGTTGACATGTCAACAGCTACAATGTAATGAAGATTTTTTTCATTGTTTTCTTCTCTCTGGTTACACTCCCTTTTAATGGTTAGTTGCAGAGGCGAATGACTGCATGGGTTTTGTTCAGCTGAGAGGCAGATTTTGGAAATGGTTTTTGGAGACCCTGGTGCTTGGGCACCCAAGGGAACACTGATGTATTGAGCATATCCTGATGGTGTTCTGTGCGATGTTTCCATATCATGAGGAACTGAGATGTTCCTTTACTCTCATTCTTAAACTTGGAACACAAAGAACAGTAGAACTTCCATTGAAGATCTCTGCACTTGCAGTGTTTTGTTTTAGGTGAAAAATATCAGTTCAGCCAGATGCCAGCCTCATACCTCTACTAGGCAATAGAAAGATATTAGCAACGTCAGCCAAAATGGTCTTGGTGTAGCTGCAGTTTAATGTCTGCTATGGGTAGATTTCTTCTTTTGAAAAATGCTGTGGATTGGTTTGGGTATGTGCAGTAGAGCACTAACGATTACAGTGTGACTGGATGTACCCCTCTAAAATGTAAGTTGCAATGATTTTAATCGCATATTGAAGTCTCGTTTACTTGAACGGGGCATTGAGTTTCAGTTGGAAAGAGCGATTAATGTGTGTTTAGTACAGAAAAGATTTCTCCTCACAGCTCTGGAACCCCTGCAAACTTGTACTATGTATCAGTCCAGCACCATTTGCATGTCATTACAATACCCAGAACACTCTTCCAATTAACAGCTGTTCCATAGCAAGGCTGCTGTCTCGGCTCTGGGAGCAAAGTGAAAGGTCTGAGCAGATGCTTTTGGATACACAGAATTTTATATTCCCACTACAATAGACTTGAGTTAATGGAATTTCTTGGATTTGGAGCTAATGAATGGAAATGACTGTTATCTTTTGGATACAGGAAGCACATGCATTTGACTAGCGTTCAGTAGAATGCTAGTTTTTGAGATATAGTCATAAAACAAGAAACAGTGCATTAAATTATTATGCTTGTGCATAATTTTATCATCCCCTGCCCTGCCTAATAATTTCACTATAATGTAATGTTAATGGTTTAATTAGGTATTACTTTTATTCACATATGTGTCTGATGAGATACCTAAGAATATTTTTGCACTTACATCTCTTTACATTCTTTTTCCTTTCATTTTCTTTCCATTTACACAGGAAATAATTTTGAGCATGGAAAAACTTAGAACACTATATTGGTAGTAATACTAGAAATATGTGTTGTTATAATTTTTTTACATGAGTTTAGATGGTATTATATTTGCTACAAACTCTAAACAGTAAAAGTAAAAGTAAAAGTAGAAAAAGGGAATAGACTGATGTTTGTGGCCTGATAGATACAACAGGTTCTGTTATCAAGTAGAATAAATCAATGTTGCAACATAAACCTCAATGTATATATAAGGCTGTGCATTTTTGTAGTGGAGGATGGTGTGTCCTGCTGATTTAAACTTTGTTATATGAGACAAACAAGACTTAAGCAGTTCAAAGGCACTTCCGTAACATTATTGCTCCTAATGAGATGCCCTAAGATAAGCCTGGTACCTAAGCCTCACTAAAATATTTAATGCCTCCCAGCAGACTAGGTGAAAAACTTTAAAACATAGAGAAAAGTTTGGATGTTTTCCTGAGCCACTGTAAGTTTCAGGCTTTGATTTATTAATGCCATGATTTTAGGCTTCATTATGCGAGCTTTTGTATTATGGCAATAATACAGATACCTCAAGCACGTTTTTCTTGGGTCTATTGCTCAGCCCTCTACGTGAAATCTGCATACAACATGTAAAATCTTACTGAAGCTTGTTAGCAGACTTATGGTGTGCAGCCCTGATGTTGGCACCTTCCTAATGAATCCAACCTAGAACGGTTATCAAAGAACTCAAGCTATAACAGGGCGAGAGGCAGAAGTACCTACAAACAACCTCTAAAAGGGCTGTGTCATCGTCGCTTTCCTAACCCAGTTAACCCTCCTGTGGAGGCAGTGATTGTCTTGTATTAATACTGTGTTTATCTGATTTCATTGTTCTAGCCAGCCAAGCCAGGGACCTTTTATCAAAGATGCTAGTCATTGATCCGGCCAAGCGAATATCGGTAGATGAAGCCTTACAGCATCCATACATTAATGTCTGGTACGACCCAGCAGAAGTGGAGGCGGTAAGTAAGGCGTGATTCTTTACTTCAGACTGCGAAATGCAGACGTGATTCAGAGGTTCCTGCTGCTTTACAGCAGCTTCATAAGGAGCATGCTGTAAAGAAACAATGTTGTGACTGCGGTGGGCTGTGGATTTACGTGAAATGAGATCTGTAGGGACAGCATGTGTCTCTCTGTTAGATTAACTGACAATAGCTGAGGGAAGCAAAAACACTCCAAGTGTATGAAGACATTTTCTGCTTCCTTCTAGACACCATGAAGAAAGGATTTGAATCCAGTAGCTCACCTGTTTTTTCTAGCTATATAAGTCAGTCTGGCAAAAGATACGATCTTTCTCTCTAAACCTTCCCTTGTGGAAAATAGCGAACGTCACTTCCTACATTTGTGTTCAAGGATATATGTGGAGAGCAGGAGATTTAAACGAAACAATACAAAATCCCGAAGTCGGAATTCAGCAAAATCTTAGCAGGATGTAAATTATTCTTTAAAATGAAGCAGGGGCTCATGTGTTCCATGTTCAGTATCATGTACACTGTGTGCAAACAGAATGGAATTTTTCTTATAATCCTGTCATGCTTCAGACACCTCTCCATATACCTTGATGAGGCTGGTGTTAATAGGAATAAGTGCAATCCGTAGTCGCTTCATTGACATGGTATGATAGGTATAGGTACAAATTCAGAGGTGTTCCCTGTAATACTGTGTATGAAACGTATGAAAACAGAGCTCAGTATTTCAACAGGTTTCGAAACCTTACTTAACCACAATAGGAAACCAAGACCCTGAACCTTGCAAAATCAAATCGCTGCTGTTTAGTGATATGCTCCAGTTCGGTGTGTGTTCTTGGAAGTGCAGTAAACTTCAAAAGTAAATGGTATGCAGAAAACGCCATCAAATTTCATGTACATAGGATTTTTGCAGAGTATATTATTTAGGAGTGCTTTATAGGGAACAGTTCTGCTATCTAGACAGCCTTTAGGTTTTGTGCCCTGTTCAGTTTTCTTCAAGAAAAATGTTTATCAGTCTGAAATGCAAACATTTGATACCCTGCAATATTTTACCCCTTGGCATGTACGTTTTAGTTTCACATCCGTCTTGAAGATCTCATTCCATTGTCAGATACTTTTGTTGCATTTCCATGCATTTCTTAACTCCGCTTTACGGAACTACCCCTATGTCAGCGCTCAGATTTTGGTCCCTCTTTAGATGTGCTTTGCTTGTGAATTTGACCATGGAGAGCCACTTGTGACACAGAACAGGAAGGGAGTTTGGTGCAGTTCATGCTTCGATGTAACGGTTTGCCAAATTTCCAAATGTATGCTCTTAGCTGTAATTCAGATCGAAGCAGAGGCTGAGTTTTTGTCATGGTGAGGTTGCCCTTTTAGAAGGAAAAACTTGCCACACATACCTAGAATTACGGCTGATATTGAACCTTGTATTACTGTCGTCTTGCACAGACAGAGATCAGAAGTACATCCATGGCTGAAGAGTCCATGGTCTGATTTCTAATTGTACCATAGAGTCCCCATGCGATCTAGAACAAGCCACATCCTTTCTCTGGATCATGGCTGTAAAACAGAAATATATAATTATTAATTTTGCCTGCCTGGTGAATTGTCTGGAATTTAGTGAGCCCACTAGCTTTCAAAAGCCTGCAGTAATTACATTCTCGTTCATTGGGGTATTAATCTGTCACATGCACCTTCTGTCACCATAGATACCTGTACAAACGTGGTGCCACATGCTATCAAATCACATTTCTTGCATTTTCGCTATTGGTTGCATTTAATTTCTCAATAAATGACTACAGGCCATGTAAAGCAGTGAAAAATCAAACTGCCCTTGCTCCCATAGCACCTCAAAGAACAGAGAACATCCTGTGAGGAAGGTATAGCACCTTTAAATGTTCAACTTCAAATGCTTTATGTTGTCCCAGTTAGTTGTAGTTTGTATCTGTGTCTGAATTGCGTCTTCTTAGATAACACTGTTCTTGTCACCCACCTGGTTCTTTGCACAGTTATTGTGTAGTTAACATGAGCTGAATGTCAGCATCCCCAACTGCTTTCTCTGTCTCTCTTAGCTTTGAAGTTTTCTCTTCCAAAACATGCTATATCTTGCCAATAACATACTATAGAATCATACTAATAATTTTGTCATGAGTGCAGCAAAGTGTTATTGAAATGCTTTGACACTAGTCTCTCAGGGTACTTCTCTTGGGATCATAGAACCATAGAATCACAGAATGGTTAGGGTTGGAAGGGACCTCAAAGATCATCTAGTTCCAACCCCCAATGCCATGGGCAGGGACACCCTCCACTACACCAGGTTGCTCAAAGCCTCATCCAACCTGGCCTTGAACACTTCCAGGGATGGGGCATCTACACCTTCTCTGGGCAACCTGTTCCAGTGCCCCACCACCCTCTGAGTGAAAAATTTCTTCCTTATATCTAATCTAAATCTCTCCTCTTTCAGTTTAAAGCCATTGCCCCTTGTCCTATCACTACATGCCCTTGTAAAAAGTCCCTCTCCAGCTTTCCTGTAGGCCCCCTTTAGGTACTGAAAAGCTGCAATAAGATCTCCCTGGAGCCTTCTCTCTCTAGGCTGAACAGCCCCAACTCTCCTAGCCTGTCTTCATAGCAGAGGTGTTTCAGCCCTCTGATCATCTTCGTGGCCCTCCTCTGGACTCTCTCCAACAGTTCCATGTGCTTCTTGTGTTGGGGACTCCAGAGCTGAACACAGTATTCCAGGTGGTGTCTCACGAGAGCAGAGTAGAGGGGCAGAATCACCTCCCTCGACCTGCTGGCCATGCTTCTTTTGATGTACGGTTGGCTTTCTGGGCTGCCAGCGCACATTGCCAGCTTATGTCGAGCTTCTCATCCACCAGCACTCCCAAGTCCTTTTCCTCAGGGCAGCTCTCAATCCATTCTCCGCCCAGCCTGTACTTGTGCTTGGGGTTGCCCCCACCCACATGCAGGACCTTGCACTTGGCCTTGTTAAACTTCATGAGGTTCTCGCAGGCCCACCTCTCCAGCCTGTCAAAGTCCCTCTGGATGGCATCCCTTCCCTCCAGCGTGTCCACAACACCACACAGGTTGGTGTCATCAGCAAACTTGCTGAGGGTGCACTCAATCCCACTGTCCACGTCACCAACAAAGATGTTAAATAGCACTGGCCCCAGTACTGACCCCTGAGGAACACCACTCCTCACTGGCCTCCACGTGGACATTGAACCGTTGACCACAACAGGTTGATCACGGCAGGTTAAAAACCAAGAAGGTTCAGGTTGTGTGCAGTGTAAGCTAAATAGAAGAACATGGGATTAATAAACATTCGTTGTATTTTCTCAGAGTTCTAGGAATTCTAGAAAGAGCCTGGCTTCACTTAACGCTCATTATTTTTCCCATCTCATTTTCAGAGGGAAAGTTAAACTGGAAGACTTTCTTGTTGTGATTAACAGTTTATTCAATTCTAAATTTCCATCTGTTCATGCTGACACACCTTCAGTGGCTAGCTGTGAATCACTTACTACTCATTTCTGGAGAGAACTTAACTCAGTTGGATTTTTCTTTGCCTCTTGATTCAGCTGTTGAAGTGTAGTCAGTGTTTTTCATCAGCATTGTCTCAGTGACCGATTAAGTTTCTCAAACAGATTCATGGGAGATCGGTGGCTTTCTGTTTTTTGCAAAAGAGTATCCTGAGATTCTGGGACCGCTACTAACTGGCAGTCCCTCTATGAGGAGTAGTTGTTGCTACACTGGAGAGGAGGTTTTACTCATGCGTCTGTGTTACAATTTGCCACTTGTGGCTGAACACTTGATGTCTGATGTGCTATTAGTTCTTACAAGACAGCAAGGTACCTATGTGTGATAAACTTGTTTGTTGGTGACACGAGTGATTTAGTGCTTCAAGCATGGAGTAACTTTTTTCCTCTTGGAAAAAGCTGTGCTGGTGTGCACAACAGGCTGTGTCTTTCTGTGACTTCAGACATGGACGTGGGGAACCTAGTGTAACATCCGGAATATGTTTTGGGGTATCTTGTAACACTGCGCTGACATCCGATGTCTTAAATGGTTACAGTTCTGTGCGCCAGGCTCTACATCCAGCTAATACCCTTGTTCTACTTCTGTGTTACTCGTTGTTGCAATTTTGTGTTATTAAGGGTATTAGATAAAGAATTCAATTCCTATGACAAGAGTCTTTGCATCTCTCTCAAAGAAATACTTCACTGAAATATCCGCCTTGTTACAGTTACAGAAGAGTTAGAATCAAACTCAGTAAACGTTTCCCAATGCCATGGGCAATGGGGAAATGACTGTCATCTTATGTATTTTTGTTGCATCTCGCTGACTTTGGAGCAGGGGTGGGAGTTGGTACTCATCTAAAAACGTGCCACAACTGAGCTCTTTGAGAGGTAGGTACTTTTGCTGATTCATTTAGTAATCTAACTCTCTGAATTGGTCTATACTGAACTAAACAGCAGAAGTTGTAATAGGGTACAGTTGCAGGGAGAAGTAGTATTTGAATGGAGTGTAAAAACCTAAAAATGGTTCTCTGCCTCATTAATATTAGTTTTTTTTAAAAAAAACCACAAACAAACAAATGAACAAAAAAAAACACCTCAGGGACATCGGTGAAGAACAGATTGTGGTTTGATTCTTCCAGGTTATGTACGTCTTTGGTTTCCCATTCCAATTTGAATGGAACGAGTCATTTTTCCCTCTCTTGGTAAGCTATTTTATTAATGTGTGCTATGGAACAACTGCACTGGTATATTTTATCAGTGACTTTTCTAATGGATCTCTGGATCTAGCCCACCAAATTTTGGAAGGCAGAAATGGATGTTACATCTGCCAGTGGGCCTCAGTTCTCCAGCTGAACCAGTTTCTAGATGATGATTCTAGATCAAAGCACTGTTGAAGTGTGTTGGAATCCTCACACAACTAGTTTAGGTCCTTTTTGTCCACAAACTACGCTGTAGTTTGGGAAGCTTATAAAAATACCT